CAGTGTTCACTCCAAGCCCTTCTCTTGATGTGTCCATCTGCAGCGATGCTGACTGTAAAGCAGACTGTATTGATGAGCTCCAGGGTGAATAACCGGGTTCTCAATGTGTGGAGGTTGATCAAGGAGTCGTTTGTGTGTGTTTTACCAAAGATTAATTACAACTAAAAGAGCTGATCTAATTAATCCCCTAATATAATGCAAGATGGATAAATAAAATAACATCTTCACATTGTATTGTGATCTATTTTCTAAGCACATTTAGTTGGGAGTGAAACTTCGTTTGTTTTGGATACGAGACGATATAAATACGGTAACAAAACAAACGCGTTAGTGTAGCCTCATACGAACAAAATTTCACGACACAAGGAAAACGCTAACTTAAAATGGACCCTTAGTTATTCAATTATTCATATCAATTATGTGATAATCTGATGTTCCAAAATTACAACCCTCGGTTTATTGCTCCCACAAAAGAAATCATCCTACACCATTTGGCTATACCTGCTTTCTTTGTTATGCATTTCAAGCATCCAAGTTATTCTTTTTATACCAACAATGCTGAGCATGCGGGAATCGAACTTGCGGCCGGGCCTCGATGATCAGGTGCAGAGGTGAATGCTCGGCATCACTTCAGTCACAACCCCCCAACCCAAATGTGGTACATAGTTAGACTAACTAGAAAGTCATCATTATAGGAACTGAAATATACTTGACAAGAACTAACTGATATATTCAGTATTGATGTTTAAGTACAGTTCTTTATCAATACTAAAATATGAAGGCGATGGTAAAGTTTGCTTGTAAACTCACTCACACAACATGACCAGAACTTCGGATTCATTGAAGATGGCTACATGGAATTTTAATTTTTACAGTGGGTGTAAAATCGATACTGCACGAAATAATCAAGGCAAAATCCCTTTGGGGATGAGGACATCCCCGATGTTGTTGTGCCATGGGTCAGCCAAGTGAGTAGCCAGGTTCTCCAATGGTCCTGTGCCAGGGTATGCCGATTGTTGAACAACAAACCCAACGAAAGCCAACAACGCAAGCCGGCCTACACACTCATCAATCAATAATTAGATCATCTGTAATTTTGTATAAAATGTGACATAAGAACGTAACGTCTTTGTACTCACCATTTTTTATCTCTTTGACTTTGTACTCCTCGAACTTCTTGGGGTCCTTGGAGTAGCCCAAGGGGTCAAAAGCCCCGCCAGGGTACTTCTTCTTTTCAGTGTCCTTCTCCATGCTGCGTTGGTGTTCTACAAAGGCAATGGAAACGAATTCGATGACCAAAATTGTAGGCAAAGTGCCCCATGGAACTGGGTTGCCTAAGTACGTGGCTTGGCCTCCTGGAACGGCAGCCCACTCTTGTGCTTTTACCCAGTTGCCCAATCCCAAAGCCTCTGGTACAAGAATCCCTGGCTGCAAAAGTGTGTTTACAAGGTTAATTTAGTCACTGCAAAGTAAATAAACTGGATGCAATTTTTAAGTTACAATTGTATGATACTTACTACAGCAAGCATTGCCCATCTGCAGTGAATAAGCTCAGACTCCTTGAACCTCTCCAAGTTCTCGGGCACTTCTCCTAGCCGAAGTGGGTCAAATCCAAAGTCACTGAAAACCCCCAAGCACCAAATCTTAACACAATGTCACCAAATTATAATATGATTTCTTTTCCAAACTAATCAACGTCAGAAGCTAATTAATATCGCATAATCATCTATTTTACTAAATAGTATCTTAGGCTTACGAAATTTTGATCACCAAATGATGTCTCACTGTGAAATTTAATTCAAATTTAGGTCTACACTTAATCTTACTTTTTTTTAACAAGATACGTACGTAATAACATATTATTTGATTAATAATTTTGGTGGCTGTAACATTATTAAAGTAGTATATTTCGTTACCCGGGTGCAGAGCCATCAAGGTAAGGAGGCCGGGGCTCGCCGGGCATCCAGTCGGCGGACATGGAGAACCTTGAGGAGGCATTGGCACCAACACTTGGGAGCTGGACTGCACTGGTCGCAAATTTAGACTTTGAGGATGACAGGACTGAGGGGAAGGTAGTGGTGGCGATGCCACAGCTCATCAAAGTGTTGGAAGCCATTTGATTAACTAATGCCTGCAAGACTTAGGGTTTGTGGGGAGGGGAAAGGAGGCGACTGAGATTATGGAAGGTGGAAGGAGTGGCGAGGAATACTAGTAGTATCAGGATATAGAAGAATCCAAATGTGGATTGTGATTGGCTAATATATCTGGCTGGTCTTCTGTCATTGGGCTACGTGGATTCTGTTAATCCAAATAGGTGGCTTAGGTGGCAAGGAATATCCAACCGATAGGTGAAATCTGATATATGTGGTGCATGTTGAGTTGTTAGGGGAGGAAACTCTAACCTACCAGTTTCTGCAGGCAAAAAAAAAAAAAAATATATTATTGTAAAATATTAGGTTGTAATTGAGGAAGAAATATGGTTGGATTTTAGAACTATATGGATCACAAATAATTTACAAGTAATGTTAAGTAGGCTAATTTTTTAGACCAAATTTATACATCATGTAATGTGTTACTAATAGTATTTTAAAATACTCACATCGGGAGCGCCTAGGCGGGTGGCTTGCCGCCTCTGTTTTGTGGGAAAGGATGAAAAACTTGCCTAGGGTTGTGAGGGCGCGCCTAGGCGGCTGGGGACCTCGAAGTCAAAGGTTAGGCAGGTTGCAGCAGCTGCTCGCTAGTTTTTTTTCAAGTTTCAGCGACAGCATCTTCACAAAGAAGACGACCGTGAAGAAGAGAAATGGCTTCTTTTTTTTTTTTTTTTTTTAAGGAAAACTAATGAAAAAGGCTTGAAAACTTTGAGTTTTAACGAAAATGACAAAATAAAGGGTAAAGTGAATAGTACCAGGATTGACATTTTAGTGTAAAAATGTGGTTTTTCGTTAAGTAAACAGTACCAGAAACTTTTCGTTAAAGTTCCCTTTTTTTTTATCTCAGACTTGGCTCAAAACGACATCGTTTTGGCCAAGTCTTTTAACTTTTTTTCAAATGATTTGAAGCAAAACGATGTCGTTTGGCCGAGTCTAATATTTTTTTTAATTATTTTTAAAATACAAGGCCAAGTCTAATTTTATTTTATTTTTTAAAATTATAACCCCCAGTTCTCTTCTTCCCCATCCCATTCCCGACCATAGTTCACCCAATCTCATCCCCAATTCCTCAAAATTGTCAATCTCAATCCCATATTTCAATTTTGCCCAAATCTTATACTTCAATTTCTTTCAAAATTCTCCACAACACCACAATTGTTTTAAAATTCAAGTAAGTTTTTTAGTATTTCAATCTCAATTTTGCCTTGGTTGCTTGTTTTATTGTTAATTAATTGTTTTACAAAGTATTATATTTTATATATACAAAAATTTAGGTCCCGACGGTGCTATCCATGGAACGTCTCGTCCACGCCTTTGCCTTTTAATACATTGGTTACTAATAAAAAATAAGGGGTGTGATATTCACACATCCCTTTTTACTTCTCACACACCTTTCTAATTTCCGGCCGTCGGATCAGATAAAATGAAGAAGATCAACGGACAGAAATTAACAAGGGGTGTGTGAGAAGTAAAAATCTACACACCCCAAAAATAAGCACGTTAATTAACATTTATGCAATAATTCAATAATCAACAACTACGTCATATGGTTTACATTATATAATTTAAATAGATAATCTCTCTAGCGTTATCCATATTTTAGCGGAAGACAAGATATTTTTGGATCGCCAATATCGAAGGCATTGGCTTAAGAAACAGAAGGCTAAAGCTAGTGTGAAGTCTTTACTCGATCTTGGCATATTATCCATCAAGAAACAGCTTAAATTATGAAAAATGCACATACGCAATTCTTTAAGCATGTAACATGCAAAGGTTAGTCGTCGATGCGCATTAAATTATGTAGATTGGACATTGAGTTTTAATAAAGGCTTAAAATTTCTACTTTATGTTGACTGCAAAACCCACATTTCATCTGTTGAACTGCATATTTTCTTACTTCCATTTATATTCTCAATCACCAAGAGAGAGAAATCAAGAAACGACACCCAAATAGAAAAGTGGAAATTCTTTTAAGTTAGACTTTACTCTCAAAGCAAACAAATAAGTTGGACTTTACTCTCAAAGCAAACAAATAAGTTGGACTTTACACTTTACTTAACGCCAAACATTTGTCACCACGTACACTTTTGATATAGATTCTATACATGTATGTAAGGTTTAGGGTTTAAGACTTACTTACACATCAAGGATGCTATCATGACATTTCAAACTTGCGTTTTAACCTTTTTACATAACATCGCATGATTGGTTTGAGATATCGTTATCTTGACGCATCTGTTTCATATAAGTAATCCTTAAATTTAATTAATTTAGCCTAGATACTAATTAACTTCCTAATCTCTTAAATTAAGCCATGTCGATTCCAACAAAGATCATCTTCGGATACTTTTGGTAAGGATTCTGGAGATTCGTAAATCGTGTCTGTTCATCGTACATCGTGTGGTCAGTTTTTATCAGGTACTTTTTGTATTTAATTTAAAATAATTTCTGACAGCACAATATACGATGAACGGATATGATTCACGGATTTCCAGAATCCTCGTAGAGAAATCCGGCGAGTATCCGGATTCATGTCAATTGTCAGGCTTTAGAACTTCAACTCCTGTCTTTTCTTTGGTGAACATGTTTTAGATACTCTTTCTTTTGCACGTACACATGTATGGATAATCCATCAACGGTAACGTAAGTAAAAAACTCACAACTGTTTACACCCAAAAAGAAAGTTATACTGTGTAAGTTCGTGAACTCCCCCACGTTTCAATACCCCACTCGCTAAAACAGATTGGAACCAACCAACACTTCCCGCGCCTTAGAGCTCATCGTAAACCTCGACGCACCGGATTGCCCCTCTCCACCCGCTTGCTTTACTATGGCCACGAGGCGCACACAACGCATCCTCCACTGCCACTCGTTCTTCTCTTGTTCGTCATCACCACTCCGATACCTTCACAAATCCCAAACACCAATGACAGAGTTAATCAAATTAATTAACAACTAATTAATCCAAAATTAACCGCCATTTTCCGTTGGGAGCCAGCTATCACTCTCCGGCCAGCGATGGCGGCGATAACGGGACCGGCATCGTCGTCGTTGATGATATCGTTGTCGTTTAAGCCGGCGTGCGTGCTGAGATCGACGAGGCCCGCCAAAACGACGCCGAAGATCAAGCGAGAGAGGCAGGGGCGGGCAGTGGTGGGGGACTTCGGACACTTGGGTCAGGTGGTTCGGAAGGACCTGGAGTTTCTGAAGACGGGGATTGGCAGAGGGATTGAGTGGGCGAATAAGGCTTTTCGAATTCCTGAGGTTTCCAAAGCCGTAGACGACGTCGTGTGGCTTCGCAACCTCGAAGACCCCGATGCGCCGCCATCACCAGCTCCTTCTTGGCCTCAGCCTGCCTATCCAGGTGAAGTACCTTCTTCCTATGTGTATGTAAATTTTGAGAATTTTTTATTGGAAGTTAGGGAAATATGCAAAAATAAAACCTTGTTACAAATTTTTAAATGCGGGGCTAAAGCAGCGGTGATTTATATACGATTTATTATCTGTTTAGTGTCGCGCAATTTTTTTTTATTAAAAGTTTGTAACGAGTTCTATCTGCACATATTTCCCGAGAAGTTAAGATAGTTTGCTTAATTTGACAAATTGGTTGTGGTTTTATTAATACACCGCCGCAAATGTGGAATCTTTCAAGTCTTACCCTTCATGTAATTGCAAGGCCTTAACAAAATCTAAAGTTCATCACTTGGTTAGAGATGTTGTCGAATTATTCTGTGAGTGCTCCCATCAGTTTACTACTGTGAGGACTAGATTGGTCTTGTGTCTTATTAGGGTTCCTTTGATTGTTGTTCAAGGAAAATGGAGGTTTTCTCTCAAGTATTCATGTACGTATTATATTTTTCCAATGACATTTTAATAAATAAGGACAGAAAGAAATCAAATCTAGCAGATTTGTGGTTGCAGATATACTAAATCAAAAATATGTAACCGTTCTTCGTGTGATTCTTTAATTCATTAATTATCATTTTGTGTGCTCCCGTCCCAAATTTGGGAAATGCAATGAGGCTTGCAATTGGGTTGATTGAAAAAATTAAAACTTTTGGGGTTGACATCTGTAGAAAACGATTCTGTAAACGGCAACAGCTTAAAGTATTGCTTGCTTGCATGGTTTCTTGCAAAATGATGACATAGATTCAGAGCACTTCAAATTTCCTTGTACCTTGTTTAGTTGAAACTGATGTTGGAAATCCATCATCTGACACTGACAGAGCTGTCCGGCGTGGATTTGCTCGTGGCTGATCTTAAAGCTTTGGAGACGTACGCTCTTTATTTCTATTATCTGTCTAAGATTTGGTCTAAGCCACTTCCTGAAGTCTATGATCCAGAAAGTGTTGCTGAATATTTTAGCTGTAGGCCCCATGTAGTGGCCTTGAGACTTCTTGAGGTAGGATTCAATATCTACAAATACTATTTTTTCATCCAAAGATCCGCCACATTTTCTTGGATTGTGGAATTGTAAATTGGAAAACTATGACAACCCTTGTTCTTAGGTTTTACCTACTCCTTACATGTAGTTCAGGGTCTGTCATCTTATTGTTGATCAAAAGCTTTTACTTATCGTGTTTTATAGAATAGATCCTTATTAGATTCACTACGTTGTCTACTGTAAGGTATTTTCCTCCTTTGCTTCTGCTGCAATCAGAATTCGGACCACAGGGATCAAAAAGTTCTTAAGGCTAAGTTCGGACGTGGATATTAATGAGAACATATCACAGTACAATTTCGGAATGGTGTTAAAGGAGACTATGCTAAGTCTGGGTCCCACTTTTATCAAAGGTGAGGAAGACTTTCTAGTTGAAGTTTCTGATCATTTAAGCTCTAGTTCTCATCTTTTTTGTTATGCTCCACTTAACTAAAAGTTTACTCTATTGTTGTTTTGCGTATTGCCCTTTAAATTATATACTGGGATTCCTATTTTCTCTAGCAGTCGCAAGATTACAAATTTGCTAGTTACATGCGTTTGCTTGCTGATGCAGTTGGTCAGTCCCTTTCCACCAGGCCGGACATTATTGGTGCTGAGATGGCCAAGGTTAGATTATACTGATCTTGTATCTTTATTTTTAATTTGAACATCAGTACATTATCTGCCACCAATGTGAAAGCCTAATATGCTCCACTTTTACATATAAAAAAGCTTAATATGCATCCATACTGTGTTCATGTGAAAAGTGATCCATCAATGTCCATTTACAATGTCAAATAAAAAAGTTTTACTACAAATCTTCAAATACTTTTTATCCTGTCCTGCAATAATATGTGTAGATTTTAATCTTCTGATCTTTATATATGTGTTTGTATGTTGGCTTGCTTCGCATCTTTATGCAAGTGGCTTCTATAATTTCAATACTGTTGTATTCATGGTTTTTCGTTCTCTGATGTGAAAGTCGTATTATATCTTTGCATGCAAGATTTTTTTTTTTTTTGTTTCGTCATCTTTACCTTGAAATAAGTTAACCTGCTCTATTTTCTGCTCATCCTTCCTCTTTGGTTGCAGCCATTGTCTGAGCTGCATGATCAAATTCCTCCATTTCCCAGGGCTATGGCTATGAAAATTATCAAAGAAGAATTAGGATCTCCTGCAGAGTCATTATTTAGCTACATTTCTGAGGAACCTGAGGCTGCTGCATCATTTGGTCAGGTGGCTTAAATATGATTAATCGAATCATCCTGCAGCATATAAGACTGTAGAATTTATTTCTTATTTTCTTGATGTTTAACACATTTTAGGTCTACCGTGGGCGTACCCTTGAGGGGTTTGATGTTGCTATCAAAGTTCAACGGCCTAATTTGCATCACACTGTAGTGCGCGATATATATATTCTTCGCCTAGGGGTTTGTACTGGAATCAATTAATCTTGTGTTATTTAATTGTGACTTTCTGTATATGTTTTTTAATTAAGCTTGTACTCAGTTGTGGTAACCATTTCAGCTTGGGCTATTTCAAAACATAGCTAATAGAAAAAGTGACCTGCGTCTATACGCTGATGAGCTCGGGAAAGGTTTAGTTGGGGAATTGGATTATACTTTAGAGGCTGCAAATGCTTCCAAGTTTCAGGTAATGAATGCATATCTCAATTGAATTGAATGAATATACTGATCAATTAAAAAAGGTTATAAAAGTATTAATTACACTTATAGCCACCTCGTCTTCTAGATGTACCCAGTTTAATGAATATGTTTGCAGGAGTTGGGGTGGTTATAGGACAGGTTAGTGGTTAGCATCCTAATCCTGATCCGGATGGGATCGGCTGTATACAGTTTTTACCAGTAAGCAACATGATAGGGTTAGAATGAAATTCCAACCATCAATTGACATCAGTACTAGATAGGTGGAGGATATTTTTACATTCCAAAATAATTCGTTATTTGTGTGATGGGTAGCTTCTTGTCATAAAATAAAAAAACTTTTCAATAGTGAAAGGTTATTTTTGGGAACAAGAACCAAAGGAGAAAGGAAACTTGAAGAAGTAGACCTTTATTGTTTAGAGGATCAAGATTTATTTGTTTTGCAGTTTCTTTTCAGGTAAGAGATCGGTAGAAGAATGAATTTGGGTGTTGCTTTTAGCATGGAAGTGAAAGTCATGTGGGAACATATGAAGCTTTCCTTCTCTGTGACGAGACATATTTATAAAAGTTCTTGTTTCCAGGGTTAGATGCTTTTTTCCTTTTAGTGACTGTTTGTTGTTTTATGTACAGGAAGCTCATTCCTCCTTTCCGTTCATGCTAGTGCCAAAAGTTTATCAACATTTAAGTCGAAAGAGAGTTCTAACTATGGAGTGGATTGTTGGTGAGAGTCCAACTGATTTACTCTCTGTGTCTGCAGCTGGAAGCCCTGTTGAAAGTGGCTCTACATATTCAGAGAGGCAAATACTTGATGCCAAAAGACGTCTTCTTGATCTGGTCTGCAATCTGAATTGCAAGATTCTACTTCGCTTAAATTCTTGTTAATTTCAGATTCCTTGCACAATCCAAATATAATAGCTATCAATGTTGACAAAACTGACGTGAACTCTGAGAGGATAATGAATTTGAAATATTGTATGTTGGTGAGAACATACAGGCTCGAAGGCACTAGAAGGTGAAACTTTGGGGCCAAAAGAACACTGTTATTTAATAAGAAAACAGCTTTAGCATGAGGCAGTGAGATTACACGTTCTTTCTACTTTAAATAAACTGAAAGTTGCAAATCTTTTCTTGAGTAAATAAAATAACGCTATAAATGTGGTTTCTGAATTTAGTGAATTAGTGATTCCAATAAAATAAGATGTTGAATTATCCTTCTAAGTGCTTTAGTTGAGTGACAGATCGTTGTGCTTTGAATGGTGTAGGTTAAGAAAGGAGTGGAGGCATGCTTAGCTCAGCTCCTCGAAACAGGCTTATTGCATGCTGATCCACATCCTGGAAACTTGCGTTACACATCCTCTGGACAAATTGGGTACCTCTTTAGTCGCCATTATGCAGAACTAAGCTTGACTATCTATATCAGAAGATCTAGGTATATATCTATAGCTCTTATTCACTTCTGGTGATTTCTATCCTATGCCAGGTTTTTGGATTTTGGCTTGCTTTGTCAGATGAAAAAGAAGCACCAATTTGCTATGCTTGCATCCATAGTGCACATAGTAAATGGAGATTGGGAATCCCTTGTTAATTCTTTGACTGAAATGGACGTTTCAAGGCCAGGGACTAATCTCAGGCGTGTGACTATGGTATCATCAGCCTCTCTGTTTTCAGTTTTATATATAGTTTTGGTATATTAAATGTTATTTGGGTTACTGAAAAGTATGTTTTTACGGAAAGCAATGAGATTGTACCGTCTTTATAAGTATAGGGTTTAGGATCTGGAATATGAACTGGGAACTAATTGAGCTGTAAAAATGTTTCAGGATCTGGAATATGAACTGGGAGAAGTAGAATTTAGAGATGGAATTCCCGATGTCAAGTTCAGTAGGGTGAGAATCATGTCTCGATCTCAATCTGTACAAATGATAGACATAATATTTCTTGGTGCCTATAATAATAGTTAGTAGAGGCTGATTGTAACTGTAATTTTTCTGAAGGTTCTGAGTAAAATCTGGTCCGTGGCCTTCAAGTATCATTTTCGCATGCCACCTTACTATTCGCTTGTTCTACGTTCTCTTGCTTCATTTGAAGGTAGGGTTCACTTGCCATAGGGTATCCAATCTCATTTACTCATATTTTTTGTATCTTTATTCTTTAGGACACTCGGTAGGCTGTGTTAATTTGCCATACATCACTATCCTGTAATATCAAGATACTGATGTATGATCGCTATCTAGATGCCCTGGATGCCTCCATATAGTTTAGGTGCATCCAAGCCTTGTCAAAACTTGATGTATGATCACTTTAAACGTGTTTTTTCTGTTTTCCAGGATTAGCTGTAGCTGCAGACAAAAATTTTAAGACATTTGAAGCTGCATACCCTTATGTTGTTCGGAAACTTCTCACTGAAAATTCAGCTGCGACAAGGAAAATATTACATTCGGTATGAAGTGCTCAAGAACCATAGGCTACGCTGTTACTTTTTGTGGTTTACTACATGTCCTACGGCATTCCCATCCATATCTATATGCACATAGTAATGACAACCATTTTGTTTGTTTCTTTCTTCGCATACGTATAAATGTAAAATCTATTGTGTAAAACATGTTAGTTTAGGCTTGATAGGTATCGGTATAGCACATACAGGAAACTTTGGACCCTTCATTTGATTTCTTTCATGATTCTGATTAATGAAAAGATAACCTGTTTGATGATCAAAGGCATTGGGGTACTTTTTGAAGGACAAAACCGTACGTTATTTTGCTAATCATCATCACAATGGGATGCCTGAAACTGTTTTCATCTTGAATGAAACTTCCAGTCAGATTTTCAGCATGTTTGTTGTTTATTTACTTTGTTCGCTCGGTTCAGGTGGTTTTTAACAAGAAGAAGGAGTTCCAGTGGCAGAGGCTCTCTCTTTTCTTAAAAGTAGGTGCAACTAGGTATGTTAACTTTTATCTCTTAAAGTTAATTTCCTACAGTACAAGCTTATCTTTGTAAATGTCTTGGAACTTTTAGAACTTTCAAATCTTGACCAGCTAGCTGATAAACTTTTGCACGCTTCTGTTGTGGATATTCGTCTTGCACAGCTACCTTATCCTTGATTACCAAACATAAAATTTTCATGTTTTTTACATTTGCTTGCAGGAAAGGTTTACATGAGATCCTAGCACCTGAAGCTGATACTTCCGTCGGTTATTTACCATCAAGGGACGGTGGTGCAGTTGATGTTGCAAATTTTGTCTTGAGGATTTTACCATCCAAAGATGGTGTTGTGCTGAGAAGACTCTTGATGACTGCAGTGAGTTCCCTTATGCTGGGCTCTTTTCTTCGTTGTATTTATGATATCATAACGATCGATACTCTCTTTGTCAAAATTAAATATAAAGATGAAATTTTAATGCAGGATGGAGCTTCACTGGTCCAAGCAATGGTATCCAAGGAGGCAAAGGTATACCGCCAGCAGTTTTGCAGGGTCATTGCAGATGTTCTATATCAATGGATGTATGCAGCTAATGGACGGGGCATTACAAAAACTCAGTATAGTTCCGATCTGAAAATGGCAGGCGGGCCTGAAAACAGAGAGAGAGGTCCATCTTCCAGAGCTCCCATTTATGATTATCGTGCCATCTACAGAGATCGGCGGCTCAGAGTGATTGTCTCGAATGTGCTAAACTCCGCAAGGAAAAATCCAATTCTAATGCTGAGGCTCTATTGGACTTCCTTCGTCATGTTTGCCACAGCGTTCGCTCTGGCTTGTCATCGTGCTTTATTATCCTTCGCCGAAGACCACTTAGGCCCGATATCTTTTGCTCCAAAGCAATATGCCATCCAGTGATGTTCATATTGAACTCTCCCACAGAGCCATTTTCAAAGAATATAAGAGTGTGGGCTTCCACTTAACAGCATTCTTTGGAGCAAATATGATTACACCGGTCCATTAGATCTTCGTCTTCTCGGCCATCGTTGTATTTACAAAAACGAAGCCAGAAATGAGAGGACGGTGGTGGATCAAAGATGGCATTGCAAGCTGTCGAAAGGTATAAAACGGCGAGGTTTGTGCACAATCCATATGTAACCTAATCCGTATGGCGATCTGCATACACATTGTCTGTCAAGTGGTACGACGTTGGAACGTGTTTTAGGGTTGAATGCATCAGATGGGATGTAATGTAAGAGATCTCGGCATCTCATTAACGCCGTCTGGAATTAGAAGCCAGACAAAACAGAGGATCCTTTTCCATGTTGTAATACATCTATTTTTTTTGGTTGGTAGTTGATATGACAAGTGAAATTCCCATCTCAATATTCTTGTTGAATGTTTGCAATCATGGGACTGTTGAGCAGAAAATGTCTCTTGCTTACAACCTAAGACTTCTCACTTAATACCACTGAATCGTAATGCTAATCGACTGTGAATTTTTTTTTTTTTTTTTTGTCAAAGTGAAAGTTTCATTTGAATGTGACATTTTTGCATGGAACACATGCGAAAGATTCTTTCAAAATTGTTTCAAGCGTTGTGTATTTATTTGAATGTGACATTTTTGCATGGAAGATGCGATTACGAGATAGAGACTCAAGGTCGGAAAGGTAGAGGAAGACTTGGAAATACTCTAAGAAAAGACTTGGATTACTTGGATTTAACGGAAGACATGAAACAAAACTGAGCGCAGTGACGTTTTAGGATTCATATAGCTGACCCCACTTAGTGGGATAAGCTTTGTTGTTGTTGTTGTGACATTTTTGCATGGAACACATGTGAAAGATTATGTCAAAGTTGTTTTAAGGATGGTTATATTGATGGACAGGAATTCGATCAATCTCATAAGCAATGATATAAATGCTCTTAACCACACGATTTGATCACAAAATCTCGTGAGCTCGTATCAAAAGATCATAGAAAAACAAACTGCCCAAATTAAGAGAAAAACTTTCTTACAAGACATAGTTTAAAGTGTATCACTTCTGCAATAAACACTTATCATGTGCTCAAAAATTATATCATCCGTCCAATACATGCTTGCCACATAATTTCTTTGATTACACGAGAGTTTCTCTCCTATTTTGTACAACCTTGTAACCTCAATCCAAGTACACTTTTATGAAAAAGCCAAAATAACAAGCCAACTAATTTTAACATTTGGGCGAAGTAAACTCCAAAGAACCCATTTTTGTATTTAATATTCACCGGCTGATCAAACACTCCTCCTCCGATCGGGCCGATCCGCTATCCTTACGATCCCAAACCTTCCCTTCACCCAAAATCCGATTCTCCGATCTCTTATCGCCGCCCCAAATCCACCGGGCAAACCGACCGCCGCCCATGAGCACTCCATCACTCTCAGGGGTAAAGCTTTTGAATTTTCTTCAATTTCCTTCCGATTTGCGTTTTCCAATTCGAATTTTTTACTGTGGGTGTTGCAGAGCGCGGGTGCGTTCTCTGGGTTCACTCGGCTATGCAAGGGCTTGGCGGTGGTTCTTATTGGAGGCCACATTGTGGTTCAGCTTCTCCCTCACGCCGTTGATTACCTCGCTCTCATTCCCGCCAGGTATCTTTTTCTCGGTTCGGACACCTGCACCGTTCGATTTTGGGTTTGTTGACTTTTTTTTTTTTTTTTTTTTGGAAACCTCGACGGTACGAGGGAAATTTTGGGTTTGTTGACTTGTGAATTGGGAATTTGCTAAAATGAATGGTGAAATATTGCGTAAATCTGTGTACAGGAATGGGTTTTGTGAAAATTTTGTGAGGTTGTAGCAGGGGATGCTGATGTTAACTCTTTTGTATATTTGTATTACAATTTACTAGGGATGCAGTGTATGGGATCACAGACTTCGTTTTTGTGTAGATTCTGTATTTCCGAAACTTAGAACTTGATTTTCCAAGTGAAGCTTAGCGCCTCCTCCTTAAATTTTTTGAATCAGATCCATTTTAGGCCCGGTTCTGTGTATGCACTCTATGCTCCTTGTTCTTTGGGTCTTTTTGGGTTTCTCCATTGGTCTTAATATCTGTGCCTTCATTACACTATGCCTTAGTTTTTCTTCGTAAATTTGTTTAACTGAATTCCAGTTGAGCAGGTTTATAATCTGACTATGTTGAGGTTTACATGATTGATATTGCATCCCTATGTGTGTTCACTCTATCTAATGAAGAGCGAGAGCAAGCTCATATTTTTGAATTTGGAACCTCTAACTTAATTCTAATCCAACCTTCTGCTTTGTAGGACGATTCCTTTTGTCTGGAACCTCATTACATCCGGTTACATTGAACAATCAATATATGGGGTATGCGCTTCTGATTCCATAAACAATTTTTCTGTGATGTAGTCATATACTGGAGGAGATTTCTTGACCCGCCACAGTCTACTTTTAATGAAAAATACTACTGACTTCCACACTTATTTAACAGGTTGTTATCAGCACTCTTGGTCTTCTTTTTATAGGGAAGCTGCTTGAACCTGTGTGGGGTTCTAGGGAGTTCTTCAAGTTCATCTTTGTAGTTAACTTCCTAACTTCCATATGCACTTTCGTCACTGCTATCGCTATGTATTACATTACAATGACGGAATTTTACCTGTAAGTACTAAGAAATCGGTTAACAGTCTGAGAAATAAAAGTTTTTGCAATGCTAGTGGTTCATGTTTTTGTCCTTGTTTTCGTTGCTTCCTACATTTTCAGCTTTATTGCTTCTGTCTACCTCTTGTAGCATGTTGGTTTATTAGTAATACGAAAGTCAAGATGAGTAAATGGAAGTGAATGATGAACTTGGTAAATTTGAATCTAACTCTAAACTCGAACAGCACACAAATGTTTAAACAGATCATTCTGCAACTGTCAATACATATATTCCATTGTTCATCTATTTTATAGTACATAATAATTTTTGTACATGTGGTAGCCTGGTTTGTTTGCTCTCTTATCTTATTCTAAATATTGTTGCTTTATTTGGTTCATTTGTGCTAGATATATGCCTGTTTCTGGCTTCCACGGAGTCCTTTCAGGTTTCTTAGTTGGCATCAAGCAAATCATCCCCGACCAGGAGTTGCCTTTATTGAAAATAAAAGCTAAGGTTTGGACTTTTGGTGAAAATTTCTGCAGGTTATTAAATATTCCTAAAACTCTCTGTTTGGTGTTGGTTTCAATCATGTGCAGTGGTTACCATCTATCTTGCTATTGTTGTCCATTGCCATAAGCTTCTGGACAGAAAAGTCAGCAACACATCTTCCAATCTTAATATTTGGAACCTATACGAGTTGGATTTACCTAAGATACTGGCAGAGTAAACCAGAAACAAAACTCAAGGGTGATCCAAGTGAAGATTTTGCATTTTCTACATTCTTCCCTGAATTTTTGAGGTACATAATTACCATTATTTTCAAACTCTTCAATTCAAGATAGAATATCCGTAGTTTCCATTGCTCTTAAGTGTTTCTTGTTAATTCTTGCAGGCCAGTCATCGATCCTGTTGCATCTATATTCCATCGGATGCTCTGTGGAAGATCTGAAGCTTCCAATGAATCCCAAGGTCACACCCTGGGCAGTACGTCATTGCCTGGATCTGACCCCATTGAAGCATCAAGAAGAAGGTGACGTTTCTGGTCTCAAACAGCATCCAGCTTGAATGTTAAATGTTACATCTCCGAAACAAAATTGATAGGTTCCTCGTTCGGATGAACTGTGGAGGGTAACCTTCCCATCATAAATCACACCCTTACTGTTTACACAGGCTTGAACATGGGATCTTTGAACTCCGGATCCTTAAGGATGAATACATGCCACTAGATAGCCAACATGTTATTAGCTAAGGAGATTAATAATCAAATAATTGGGGAAAAAGATATTCATTTTTGTTGCTGTCTCTTGCAGAGAAAGAGGTGCTCGAGCTCTCGAAGAAAGATTGGCAGCTGAGAGGCTGGCTGCAGCGCACGGTACAGAAGAGTCAGGAAGAGATGCCGCGGAGAATGTTTAATTGCTTGGGAACTCGTGTCGTTTCTGTTCTTTGAAGAGGAGGCTTTTCTATTTTTTTCTGTGTGTTCCCGCTCTCCGTAGAAATTCGAAAGAGGCATGCGCTGTCGATCTCTCTTGAAACATTTGGGGCCATTTTTTCATGTTGTACAAATACATCTTCTAGCATATATATATTTGTATCTTGGATTTAAAAGGATGCTTGTTTGATGGGACGCTGTTTATTCCCGAATTAGTCTCATGTGGAAAACTTTTATTCACCAAAATTCTCAGTACAAACACTCTTTTAATAACCTTTCACTTTCATATAATTACAACTTGCCACTCCCTCTCTTCTACCGGAGAAAACTTCCTCAATTAGTATACCAACCTTTGTTCCTAGCATCGCTCTTTAGAAAATGGAAAACCCTTTTCTTCCTCGTGGTTTGTGACATAACCAGCGGCACAGCAACCTCCGTTGTGGCAGAAAGACTTGCATGACATGAGTTCATTATCACGCGACAAATGATTGCATTGTTATGGTCTATGCAAGGATCGTCGTCAGACAGCATTTTTTTGTACTTCGTAGAGATACAACATGGACTTCTGTTGATCGAAAGTGGTCCTTCATTGGACAAGTGGTTTCTTTTGATATTACTACTCAATCTAGTTCAGACATAAAAAGAATCACTACACTACATCACTATCCACTACCCAATAGACATGGAGAAATGATAAGGAGTCTCTCTCAAAAGTATGACTCTCGATCGACTCGCTGTCACCTCACAGTTTAAGGTCAATTCTTATGCCAAAATTATAAACATCGTGCCAAAAACATGATAACAGCAATAAACCAATTGGAGAAGTTAAGAAAGATGCAGGAATGGTGCCTCCAGTCATTAGACAAACAGTTTTCACCTTCATTTGATTCAACCAAATTTACAACTTCTTAATGCCTTTATTTAGCAAAGATATCAGAGAGGACAGGCAGTATAAACAACTTGGCCAGGGTTTCCATCACCCCGGGATTCCATGAGAAAGAAACTATACTTTCCGTTGCAGAATTTCACCTCACCGGAGCTGCACACAAATCAAGGGGCCACATAACAATTTTGTCATCTGTCGTGAGTTCTATGTACAAATCAGCTCTCCAATGATTCTCCAGCAAAGTACTGTCGGTGGACCATTTTTTTGTAATCTGTAAAAGAAAAATATAAGAACAAGAGTTTTATAAGAGGTCTGCACAATCCAGATCAGGAAGAATACGCACTTCATCATTGGGAATCATATTTCATGATGTTCAACTACGAAACATTAGTTTACCAGGTTGACATTTTACAGCTTGTGGAAAGTAACAAATCTCATGGTGAATTCGTAAGCTACAAAGTCTTGAAACTAGGATGGACTGGAAGGTGGTTGAAATAAAGGACATCTAACGATAAGTTTTTGAATCCCAGTTTAAAAAACATTAGATAAGAATTATAGGGAGTAACTAACCTTCCTTATTACTCCACAGTGCAGCAGCATAGCTGTTGAGGGGACTCTCCGGGTTTGGCTCTGCAGGTAAGAACTAAATCGTCAGGCAAGAACAAATGAAATCTACGAGAAAGTTCATGCATATAAGAGCAAGCTTACCTCCCAACAGACTTTGAATGGACAGAAGTATAGTCCTGCAGTCATATGCTGAAGACCACTTGTCCTGTGCCACATATAGCAAAGGAACAATATCAGCTTTTTGAAAATACATGAAACTGAAAGAAAGGAAACTCAATCAACAATAGACTTATAGACCGACACTATCACCCCCCCTCCATGATAATAAAATAATATTTGTATTCCGCAACCCTTCCATCAATGTTCTCAAATTACCCATATGATCCTGATCTGATTTTTTTTTTTTTTTCTATAGTTCTGCATGAAGATGGTCATGGCAGCCATGAGAACTACTCTGGCTGCTGTGACGTTGTCAAGGTTGGCACATTCATGTGGGCACCGCAACGCCCCTGGGTAAGGGGCACTGGCATACTGCCATCTAAGCAGCGCTCCTGAATCAGGGCATTTACATGTGGGCAACACCCTGAATGGAAAAAGCATCACAATTCGAATTATCCAACTGAAACTAATTTATATACCCTCTCTTCTACACAACTATGTGAGCAAACATTTAGATTTATCCCACCGATACTAATTTTCCATAAGGTCCCTCATGTAATCATATGGTGGACCAAATTCCTCGATACAAAAAACACTGTGACCATCATATGATCAATTTTAACTTCTCCATATTACAGTCATAGACAGTTAGCAGTTTATCCTATTGGAGTTTAGTATCTCAAAGCTTGATACCAGTTTCTTTATTGTAAATGTAATGATAGATACCTGCAGGATATCAAGACATATGTTGCCAAACTGATCAACATTTGGATGGAAGCACATTGTCTCAAACTTGACTTGCGGCGGCTTGAAAGGATAGTCCAGAGGAAAACGCAAAGAAAGCTTGTATGATAAACCCTCATACATAGTTCCTTTTCCACCTTCGATTGTGCCAACCCATGTAAAAATGCTCTCGCCTTCAGGAAAAGCCGATACTCCAAGATCTCCTCCACTCATCTGAAAACAAGAACCAGTAGATGTTGAACAAACAAACATCAGTAATACAATCGTTACTAGTCTCATAACAAGAAATACGGTCATGCATTCATCATTAAAATCTGTCTAGTAAAGAATAAAACTTCAATGTCAAACAGACTACTTTTAGGCCTTGAACTTCAAGACGATATTATTCGGCTGAGAAAATTTTACTAACACAACAATATATCCTTCCAATGAGCAACTGCCTACAAGTGAAAAGTGTGATAATGGTGGAGACTTCCCGAATCACCACACATGCAGTCATAATTTGAAGCTTTGCAGTCGACAGGCTCCACACACCTACCTAACCTCTGCATCATACATACCCATCATCCCATGATTACCAATAAGCAATAAATTCCCTCTTTTTCTTCTCGATTATGCTTCAAGTTTTCAACTTATGAACTTAAATTTGCTTCCACATAAAACCCAATTCGAGATTTCAACAAAAATCAACAACGACAGCAAGAAATCGAAAAAATAAGTACACAAATTTGAAAATTTGAGGAAAAATAAAAAACAAAGAATTGAGAGAGAGAGAGAGAGAGAGAGAGAGAGAGAGAGAGAGAGAGAGCATACCATGAGAGACATCAACTCCTTCTGAAGCCTACAGCACAATTGAAACAAAAGCCATCTGAAGTTAGGACTTGAATTTTCTCGGGGCTGATTAAAAAAAAAAAAAAAAAAAAAAAAGAAGAAGAGAATTTTCTCGGGATCCAAACAGAAACTAAAGATATAAGGACTGACCTTTGAGAAACGGAGGTGGTGTCGACGGGGACGGAAGAAGCAGGAGGCTTTTTCTGACTAGTTGCTGCTGTATGGCGCTGACGCTGCTGGTGCGTGGCCGATGAGTTGTCGGCCGTCTGATTAGGTCGGACCTCCATGGCTCACGATGATCAATCGCCTCCTGATCAACGGTTGCTATTCAATATCTGATTTAACGGCTTCTGGTAGCGGTGGTGGCGATGAGGCTGTCTTTCTGTTTTTTCGTTTCTGTATCCTTCTTTTAATTCCTTTTATTGAGACTTCAATGGATGCACGACATTAGCTGTTGATGACAAGATTAGAATCACACCCCATAATAATTTATAGTTTAATCCAACAAAAATGATATAATTATAATCTAAAACAAACAAGAAAATTTTATTGATCCATACAACACTTATAGAGTGATTTATTAGAACATCATTAGAGGTGAGTCTGCCTTATTAATGAGAGAGTATTTTTTTTTTTTTTTTTTTTTTTAAGTATCGAGCTTTGTTATGACAGTCTTTTAAAGATCGCAAAGATTTATAGAGACATTTTAGCCGTTTCTAACCACGGTCTTGTGATCCATTGCACAAAGAATTCAACTCAAGATGTGCGATATGAAATATGGGTCTAAATTCGTCTCTAACCACAGAGACACGCCGTGATTATTATTAATTAGAAAGTTTTTTTTTTGTCGATATTAATTAGAGAGTTTCAAATGTGCTTAATTTGATCTCAATTGAGAGTTTAAGGTGTGTTCTCACTTACTCAACATATCTTTTTAAGTATCCTACTTAATTACAAATTCAACAAGTTCCAAAAAAAAAAAAAAAAAGTTATACTTAATTAATAAGAATATAATATCAAACATTATAAGTTAAACTTAAATAATAAGAAGATAATATCAAAATTTTGATTGGAGGTGGTGTGCAATCATAGCATTCACCTTGTTGGAATTAGATTGAAAAAGATGGTGATGTGATCATTACGAATCTTTTTTGATGCCATATATCCATGCAAAAGGATTTTAATAAAAATTAAAATTGAAGCATTTAGCAATAATTGTGAATTAAATGATACCATACAAGGACAGAAAGGAACCTGAGACTAAAGTGCATATTACAAATTCAAACATCATATCAATCAAGCATCTTAGTAAGTGGAATGATCTGCGGTAGGCAAGCCAAAACAGTAAAAGCATAATTCAAACTCTTAAAATGTTACATTCAGTCGTGTTTGTGAGCATGAAATGTCTCTAATTACTTATGACTTTAATACTGTATAACACTTACACGTGATTGATAAATCAAAATCTTGATTTCACCCCTGCTTTACATCCTAACTTTTGAGATGAACTCTCAAATAACAGAGATATATCTTAACAAGCGAGAAGAAAGTAAGGGAAATGAATTGTTGAAGAAGTATATTTTTAGTAAAAGTGAAAGTGTGTGTAAAGTACAATGTGTGGTGCCTAAAAGAGCAAAAAATTCACATTACCATCATATGCATCTGCAGTAAACTTTTCTACATACAATACAATTGAATGGAAACATCCTACTCCTTGCCACTATATACTGCTGCAATGCTCAACCAAATATAGCGTACCAAAATAGGAAGGAAAAATGGAGAGAAATAAGTGGCTAGCAACATGTCCTATGATCCAACTCCATCTACTTGTTCAGTTGGCTTTTGCAA